AAGGAAGGAAGGAAGGAAGGAAGGAAGGAAGGAAGGAAGGAAAAAGGAAAGAAAGAAACTATTATATTTTAGACCACCTATACCCCTGTTGGGTCATTGTTTCAGAGATATTTCCTGGAAGGAAAGGAAGGAAGGAAGGAAGGAAGGAAGGAAGGAAGGAAGGAAGGAAGGAAGGAAGGAAGGAAGGAAGGAAGGAAAATGGAATGTTTTCATGAGTGGGTAGACAGATGTGTACAGCAAAGCTTTTATAAATGGATCGATAGATTGAAGCAAACATCTAAAAGGGTGCATTTTTTAGGAGAACAAATCTTTGACGTAGCTCCTCTCTACTCCTTCAGACTTCTGAAAAGGCTCCATTACAGTAGTGAATTTGTGGCAGTTCCTACACCTTTTCTCCCAAGCTTCGAAGGAGTCTCTTAGAACTTCCATTCTGTTTTTTTCCCCACCCCTTTTTTTCTTGCAGGTATTCCTTGCCCCATTATCATTGCCTGGGCTGTTTGCAAGCTTTATTATGAAAACGAGCAGTAAGTATAAAAATGACTCCGCCCACTCCCTGTTTTTCTGCATGCAACAGGTTTTCACACTTGATGAAAAAAAGAGTTCAGCAAAAATTACCTTTGCATCAGGATAATGACCTAGGCCAGTGATGGCTAACCCTTTTGGTCTCGTGTGCCAAAAATTGCTTGCTCACTTGTGCACATGCGCTTGCATGCCAGCACCCAGAAGGCAATGAGCGCAGCGCCCCCCACACCCCCTGCACATGCACAAGCCATCCCCCTGCCCCCTTACCTGCATGGCACAGCTGATTTTTGGCCCATTTGAGGCCTTTTCCGGCCTACCAGAGGCTTGAGGGAAGCCTCTGCAGCCTTTGCAGGCCGAAAAATAGGCCCATTTCATCACTTCCTGTATTTCCAGGAAAAGGTCTCAAACAGGTCGAAAATCAGCCAGGAGGCCCACGCTTGCGCGGTGAGGTAAGTTTGCCTGGGGCTTTACATGCCTGGAAAAATGGCTCTGCATGTCACCTGTGGCAAAAATGCCATAGGTTCGCCATCACAGACCTAGGCCATTTTCAAAATTACTAATTTTGTTGGGGGGGAAGGAAACACTCTTGTGGTCTTAGAGGGCTTCATGGTTACTTCAAAATCCTGTGAGAAAGGTGGAAAAGAAAAAATATACAATGAATTCAAATCAAGCCAAGAATGCTTCATGCATTTATAGTCCTTAACTTATGACCAGAATTTTCGTTGCTAAGCAAGGCATTGTTAAGGAATAATAATAATTCATTCTCCTTTTTTTGGCCATGTTTGTTAAGCAAATCACCGAAATTGTTATGTGAATCATGCAGTCAATAAATTAATTGACTTTGCCTATCATAAGCCAGCTGGGAAGGTCACAAATGGTAATCACGTGACCTGGGACGATGCAACTGTCATAATAAATATATGGCAATTGCCAATGCTTGAGTTTTGATCAAGGAACGCAACCACAGTCATTAAGGGTGAAGAACAATTGCAAATCAGGTTTTTCAGGCAGGGAGAGAGGGAGGGAGGAGAGGAGGAGGGGGAAGGGAGGAGGAGAAAGAGAAGAAGATCGAGAAGATAGGAGGAGAAAGAGAAGCTAAGATGGAGAAAATAGCAGAAAGAGAAGAGAAGGAGAAGATAGGAGGAGGGGGAGAAAGAGAAGGTCAAGAAGATAGGAAGAGAAAGAAAGTCAGATGGAGAAGATAGGGGGGAGGAGGAGGAGGAGAGGAGGAGGAGGAGGAAGGAAAGAAAAGGAAGAAAGGAAGGAAGGAGAGAGAGATGAAGAAAAAGAGAAAGAAAAGAGAGAAATAAAACTCAGAGTTAGGCTCAAAATGAAGCTTCTTCCATGCAAGATATAATGAATTCTCCTTCATGAAAGAAGGCATGTAGGAAGCCAAACACGGTACATAAACCTTCCATGCTGCCTCTTCAGAGTTTGCTCAGGATCAGAGTGAAAAAATAATAATAATTGCCAGGGTGCCTTGGATTCTGTGAGGTGCTAATAAAGCCACAGTGGAGGAAGGAACGGAAGCAAAGTATATGGTGACTGGATCTGCCAAAAGAGGCCATCCATCAGTCTCATTTGCGTAATTAAGCTGAAAAGCAAAACAAATCCCCAGCATAGCAAAGGCATAACTGAGAATCGTTCCTAAAGGAACACCACAACATTTCACATCTTTTATTTGATATATGGGATTTATACAAGTAGTAGTTCCCGATTTACTGCCACAGCCGAGCCCAAAATTTCTGTTGCTAAATCCATTCAGGTAGTTCGTAATGTTGTTAAGTGAGTTCGCCCCCATTTTATGACCTTTCTTGCCACCGTTGTTAAGTGAATCGCTGCAGCTGTTAACTTGTGAAATGAATCTGGCTTCCCCGCTGACATGGCTGATCAGGAGATCACCAAAGGGGGTCATGTGGCCCTGGGACTCTGCAACCGTCATAAATAGGAGTCAGTTGCCAAGCGCCCTGAATTTTGATCATGCGACCACGAGGATGCTGCAGTGGTCATAAGTGCGAAAAATGGCCCTTAGTTACTTTTTTCAGTGCCGTTGTAACTTTGAATGGTCATTAAAATGAATGGCTGTAAGTCGAGGACTGGCTGCAGTAGCTCATACATCCATACCAGGGGTGTGCTGCTACCGGTTCGCCCCGGTTCGAGCGAACCGGTAGCTAATGTTATCATTTTTAATAGCTGGTTTGGCGAACTGGTAAATCCAACCCTGGCTGGCCCCACCCACCCTGCCCCGCCCCTCTCAAGAGTCCCCACGCAGCCCATTTTGGATGCTAGGTGAGTACAGGGTCCGCGCAAAAGCTCAAGGGAGAAAAATGGGGCCCATATCCAGCCTCCAGAAGGCTTCCAGAGCCTGAGGAGGCCATTTTCGCCCTCCCGGAGGTTCGAGGAAAGCCTCCGGAGTCCGGGGAGGGCGAAACCACCCACCCCCGGGCCATGATGCAGGAGGCCAACTAGGCCACGCCCACCATGGCCCCACCCACCCAGTAACCAGGCAGAGAACCAATTGCTAAAATTTTCAAAGCCCATCCCTGCATCCATACACATATTGAATAGTTCGACAGTTTGGGCATTCAGGAACTGGCAAACATTTGCCACCATTTGCAGTCACATGAACATGATTTACGATTTTGCCCAAAAAAACACCCAATTTACTGCAGAAAATGGGTTCCCTTAACAATCGTGGCTTTCGTTTGACAACCGACACCAAAAAACGTTGTAAAATTGGGTTAGTCACAGGATGCCCGTTTAATAGCCAACTTGACTTAGTTCATAATTCCATGTTCAATTACGGTCGTAAGTTAAATACTCTGTGTGTGTGTGTGTGTGTGTGTGTGTGTGTGTGTGTGTGTGTGTGTATTCCTCATGTTCTTTTTTCTTAGGGTGAGCATGCAGTTTAATGCAGAGGATAATAAAATAGCCAGTCAAATAAATTTGAAGCCGGAAATAAGAGAGAAGAAAAGACAAATGAATTAAATAGAATTTAAATGAAAGCATTCCTGTGCTCCTTTCTGCGTTCACCAAGCATCCTCGCTGTCAACATGCTTATTCACTGCTTCCTATATTTTTCATCCTTTTCATCGTTTCATCAGCTCCATTCAACCAAAACCCTCTCAGGCTTCTCCCCTCGGTCTTCATTCTTCCTCTCTCCTTTCATCAATTCGTTTTTCCTCTTTGCTGTTTTTCATTCTCCCTATATCACCTTAATGCACGGTATCTATTTGCAGGTGCTGGTTTGGAAAAGAACCGGGGAAATATATAGATTACATCTATCAAGGACCAGTGATTCTTGTCCTGCTGGTAAGTCCTTTACTTCTGAGATTTTTATGAAGCTATGCAGAATTTATCCCATCTGAACTTTTTACTTGCTGACTGGGAATTCTGGGAGTTGAAGTCCATTTTCTATAGAAGTTTTGCTAAACCTTCCAAACTGGTCTCTGGGATTCATTTTTAAAGCAACTGTCTCTCCCTTAAGCCAGTGAGTAAGTGGGAAATAGAAAATTCCATATCTTGGTGCAAGGGTCTTCAAGCTTGGCAAGTTTAAGACTTGTGGACTTCAACTCCCAGAATTCCTGAGCTAACACGACTGGAGAAAGAGGAATTCTGGGAGTTGAAGTCCAAGTCTTAAAGCTGTCACGTTTGAAGACCCCTGTCTTGGTGTGATGCCCAAATTTAAAGAGCAAATTTTCCTGTCCTTTGGAAATGGGAAAACACATAGAAGCACATTTTTAATTGTTTTCTATTATCCTTTTTACTGTTTGTGAGCCTCCCAGAGTCACCTTATCGGGAAAACAGTGCCATGTAAATTAAATAAATATACAGAAATAATTGTAACAGAATAACAGAGTTGGAAAGGACCTTGGACCTCTCTGCTCAAGCAGGAAACCCTATAACATTTCAGATAAATTGTCTCTTCTTAAAAACCTCCATTGATGGAGTACCCACAACTTCTGAAAGCGAACTATTCTCCCGGTTAATTGTTCTCACTGTTAAGGAATTTCTCCTTAGTTCTAGGTTGCTTCTCTCCTTGATTAGTTTCCATTCCGTTGCTTCTTCTCCTCCCTTCAGGTGCTTTGGATAATAGCTTGACTGCCTCTTCTTTGGGGGCAGCCCCTCAGGTATTGGAAGACTCCTATCATGTCACCCCCCTGGTCTTTCTTTCCATTAAACATTAGACGTGCCCAAATCCTGCAATTGTTCTTCATATGTTTTAGCCTCCTTATCCTCTTTGTTGCTCTTCCCTATATTCTTTCAATCTACATCTTTTTTATATAATATGGCAACCCAAACTGGATGCAATATTCCAAGTGTAGTTTTTACAAGGCATTGAAACGGTATCAATACTTCACAGGATCTTGATTATATCTGTCCGTTAATGCAGTCCAGGTTTGCAATGGCTTTTTATATTTTTTATTTGGCTTTTCCTCTCCTGACCCAAAAAAATTCACCTGGAAAATTCCAATGTCTCTTTGATTCCCAAAGCTTTTTCAAGCTTGCTTCTTTGTTTGTGCAATGGACTGACTGGGGTTTTTCCACCCCTATTTTTTTCCTTGCTTAATACTTCGTTTTAATTGCAAATGCTCTGTTACTGTGCCACGTTTTTATAGTCTGGGCCTTCTAAGCTAAATCAAATCACAAAGCCATTTTTTCCCCTCTCTCTTCTTTTGGAAGAAGATAAGCATTTCCTGGTGACATATCCAGGTCTGGATCGTGGTTCTTTAATTAACATGGTTGATTGAGATCAAGTGATGCCTGGGCTTAAACAAAGGGCCAGCAAACAAGCGCAAGAATAATTACATGAGATATGTTCCTCAAGGATGAATATTTGAGCAGAATGCCTCTCCTGTCTGTTAGCTGATCTCAAATAACCCTGTTAAAAGGTGTGAAGCAATCCATCTGTCTTTGCACTGTTTTCTTGTTGCTTTTTTTTAATTTTAATTTGGGTGTATATTAAAACTGGCTGTCTGGGAGATTGGCTGCGAGCATAGGTCACTGCTTCCATGGACTGAGAATATTTAATTGGCATGTTAGTGAAATTTGGCAGGCCCAGTTAGAGGAAGAATAACAGATAAAACCCAAAGCAGCAGGAAAAAGAAAATCCCCATTGGAGTGAAAGAACAGACCTAATTCCCTTTTGTCTCCTTTCTTTGTTAGAATCCTTTGCAAATCAGCCTGCAGACAAATACTAGAAAAAAAGCTCTTTGCAAATGAGGTGGCATCTGCCTGGCCCAGAGGTTGTGAGGCTTCACAGCTGTATGATGTGACTGCTTTGAAAATATGGAAAAGTTTTTTCCCCAATAAATCCCAGAATGTTCAGCTAGCAGATGAAAGGTGGGGAAAAGGAGAGCAGGAGAAGGATGATAATTGGAAAAAAGGAGTGAGGGGTGACACGATAGCAGTATTCCAGTGTGCGGGTAGAAGTTCGTCCTCCGAGCTTCTGGGTTGATTTCCTAACATTTCGGAAATGTTCGGACCAGCTCTCTGCAAGGAACATAAATCCTTCCATTCCTCACTTTCCTGTCAGAGCTAAAGAAGCTTCTTGCATAAGAAGCTAAAGGGTCTTCAAAGAAAAAAACAAAAAATCCACTTGCCTCCTGAAAAAGCATCCTTGGGGACAGGTAGCCCTGAACTTACAACAATTCATTTAGTGACCGTTCGAAAATTACAATGGGATTGGAGAAAAAAATAACTTAGGACCATTTTCCACATAGGACTTATTGCAGCATCTCCATGGACACGTTATGAAAATATCTACACTTGGATAACCAACCCATATTTATGATGGTCTCAATGTCCCAGTGCCCAATGCAACCTTCCAACAAGCAAAGTCAATTGGGAAGCTGGACTCTCATTAACAACCGTAACTTAAGTGCAGTGATTTCATTTAACAACTGTGGCAAGAAAGGTTGTAAAATGAAGAAAAACTCACTTTAAGAACTGTCTCGTTTAATAATAGAGATTTGGGGCTCACTTGTGGCTGTAAGTTGAGGACTCCCTGTGTTCTGATCTTTGTAGGTATAGAAAATCAAGAATATTTAACTTGGAAAATTAATAATATTTAAAACAGAAGGAGGCCTTCATTTATCTAGGCATATACTCAGTACCTTTGGATATTTCAGCCTTCATGTCTCAAAACAATGGCACAGAAAGCTGCTAATGGAAGAATATGGTAGCTGTAAGGGGAATAACTTTCTTCTGACAGCACATAAATTATTCAAAGCCAAATAATCAAAACTTCTGCTGGGTGGTTCACAAAGCTGGTCACACAAGGATATCTCTGCACTAAAAGGATTCAGTTTAATTTTCTGAAATATTTGCTACTAGTTTCTCACTCAACTACAAATATGTTCCTTTGGTTAGAAATCGGATGGATCTCTTGAGACCAATTTAAGGCTGAACTTTACTGGCTTAACGAAATACGTGGGAAGGAACTTTTGACCTAGTTAGTACCGATGGACCCATTTACTCTGGAAGAATCTTAATTATGTTTGTTTTGGCTCAGTGTAGATTTACACCCCAATCTACATAGTAGGCTTAGACAAAATCTGGAATGAGGTCTACAAAAGAGCTTGAGGTCTATGGAGGTTCTACCAATGTCGTTTTGTCCCAAAGTTGTATTTTCCAATAAGCAACTGGACTTTCTTTGAAAATGTTGTGTTTCTCATCCAAGAAGTTTTTTGGATGATGATCTTAAGATCTTAATATGGAAATGAATAGAGTTAATGACTTGCATCTCTGCTTGTGTATCTATCCTGATGAAACCAAATCGTTCTCATACCAGGAATGTCTAAATATCGTTCATTCTGCTGATAGTGAGATTTCAAAATATTCTTTGTCAGGACCACGTATGTATTTACATGAGCCATTTGCACATGTATTGTTCAATTACTCCATAGATCATTCTTAGATCTTTTTTAGCTAATGTCAACAGGCTAAAAACCAGGAGATGGTGAGTTCTAGTCCCACCTTAGGCATGACAGCTGGCTGGATAACTTTGGACCAATCACAGGAGACGGTGAATTCTAGTTCTGCCATATGCATGAAAAACCAGCTGGATGATCTTTGGCAAGGCCCTCTCTTTCGTCCCATCCCATCTCAGAGGGTTGTTGTAAGGAAAATAGAAGAAGGAAGGCCCAAAGTTTATAATTTGTTACCTTGATTATTTATAAAAAATTATAAAGGAGGGGTAATTTTTTTTAATCTAATAATAAAGCTAACTAAAACCACTTAGGATAGTCGCCATGAAGAACTGTTAGAATAATCTTGCTAAGTTTTAAAAAGAAGTTTCCCAATCTATTTATTTTTGTCAATTGCTTACAAGATCATAGGTATAAGTAAAAAAACCATAGTTATGAATACATGAAATGGGTACATATAAGAAAAATAAAAGAAAAATAAAAGAAACAATAGGACAGGGACGGTAGGCACGTTGGTGCGCTTATGCACGCCCCCTACAGACCTCTTAGGAAAGGGGTGAGTTCAATAGTAGACAGTCTAAGGTTAAAGTTTTTGGAGTTTGGGGAAGAAACCACAGAGTCAGGTAGAGTATTCCAGACATTGACCACTCTCTTGCTGAAGACATATTTCTTGCAATCAAGTTTGGTGCGATGAACTTTGAGTTTGTATCTATTGTTTGCTCTTGTGTTGTTACGGTTGAAGCTGAAGTATTCATTGACAGGTAGGACATTGCAATGTATGATTTCATATACTGTACTTAGATCGGACCGAAGATGGCATAATTCGAGGTTTTCTAGGTCTAGAATTTCAAGTCTGGTGGCATAAGGTATTCTGCAATGAGTAGAGGAGTGGAGAACTCTTCTTGTGAAATATTTTTGGACTTTCTCAACTGTGTTAATATCAGATAAGTAATGTGGGTTCCAGACTGATGAGCTGTATTCGAGTATTGGTCTAGCAAAAGTTTTGTATGCTCTAGTTAGTAGTGTAATATTACCAGAGAAAAAGCTACATAAGATTAGGTTAACAACTCTTAACGCCTTTTTTGCTATGTAGTTACAGTGGGCTCTAGCACTTAGATCATTAGAGACGAGTACTCCAAGATCCTTGACAGATTTTGGATCATCAACAAGGTCTTGACTATTCAGGCTGTATTTTATTTTCTGATTTTATTTTATTTTTGCCAATATGTAGGACAGAGCATTTATTTGTTGAGATTTGAAGTTGCCATTTGTTTGATCATTCTGATACATAGTCAAGGTCTTTTTGAAGGGTAGCAGTATTGTCTGTGGTGTTGAATAGCTTTACATCATCAGCGAAGAGAACGCAGTTGCTCTTAATATGATCACAGAGGTCATTTATGTAGAGTATGAAGAGAGTTGGTCCTAAAACACTGGCTTGGGGGTCACCATTGTTGACAGGTACAGAATTTGATAGGACACTCCCAATTTTGACCATTTGTTGTCTGTTTGACAGGAATACTTCTATCCAGTTATGCAGGTGTCCAGAGATACCTTAAGATTTTAGTTTTAGGAGTAGTTTGTCGTGTACCACTGAATCAAAGGCTTTATAAAAGTCTATGTAGATTGTGTCTATTGCTTGGCCCTGATCGAGTTGTGTAGTCCATATGTTTTTGCAGTGTAAGAGTTGCAGATTACAGGGTAGTTTTTTTCTGAAACCAAATTGTTTATTAGAGAGTAGGTTGTTTGTCTCTAAGTGGAGGATAATGGATTGGTTAATAATTGATTCCATGACTTTACAGGTGACGCAGCATAAAGAGATTGGTCTGTAATTTTCAACTAGGCTGGGGTCTCCCTTTTTGAAGATGGGGATGACCATGGCTTGTGACCATAGTTTTGGCAAGTAGCTGGTCCTGAAAGATTTTTCAAAGATTATGCTTAGAGGTTCGGCTATGGCAGTGGATAGCTTTTTAAAGAAGTAGGCACATATTCCACCCATTCCAATAGATAGAGATGGTTTTAGATTGCGTAGTGCTTTCTCAACATTGTCTTCTGTAAAATCGATATGCATTAGATCATTGTAGCTGTCTGTGGTTTGACTAGGAAATACTGGGCATGATCCATTGCTGTTTACAAATACTGAACCAAAGAATATGTTAAAGAGGTTTGCTTTGATGGTGTCATTGTTCCAGTCTTTACCATTAGGTCCTTTCAGGGGTGGGGTGGACCTTGAGTCTTTTAGTTTGTTGTTTACAAAATTATAAAAAGCTCGGGGGGAATTGGTGCGTAGAAGGTTTTCTTCTTGTTTAATGTGATAATTGGTGCATTTAGTCTTTATCTGGTGGCATAAATTTTTGTATTGGCTTTTGTATAGCTTGAAAGAGAGACTAGCTCAAATAGCATCGCTGAACCTCACTCCAAGTGGAGAATCAAACCTATTTTGTGTTCCGTGTGAAATAATATTTTTCTGTATACTGCTCTCGTCTTTCACTCCCAGCAATTCCCTGGCCGGCTCTGAAGAGACGCAGGTTAATAACAGTACTTCAGCTCCCCACTAGTTCACAAAAGAGACTTTTGTAGCTGCCAGGTGCCTCTGTCTAAGAAGCCCTAAAGGCATCCTTCTAAAAGGATTTCTAAAATAGCTCTTTGAATGCAAAGAGTGAGCTCGGATATCTTTGAGGTCTTGATTTCCCCATCGATTCTCCTCTTGTGCTGAAGGACACCGCAAGGCCATCAGGAAATAAGCTTTTACTCGAAACTCACGACTTGAAACATTGCCGATTATTCTTCCCCTAAATCAGCGGTCCCCAACTTTTCTGGCACCAGGAACCGGTGTCAAGGAAGACCATTTTTACACGGGCCGGGAAGGGATGGTTTTGCACATAGCCTACATCTTGTGTAGGTGTTGTGGTTCGCCGGTAGCAGGTGCAGGTGTCAGAGGTCTCTAATAGCAAGGACTCAGACGAGGAGCCTGCGTGAGATGCAAGGATGGGGCCAGGACCACCTGAGGGTGGAATGCTGCCTTCAGAGCTTGTGCAGTCTGGCAGCAGTGATGAAGAGGCCCCCGAGGAGCCTATGCCCAGTGCGCGTGTGCGCAGGGCTGCTCAAAGGAAAGAGCAGCTGAAGCAGCAAGGGTGTCTCGGGAGTAAGGCTGGGAGGTGATTGCCCCTCCCATAAGGGATAAAAACCAGCCCTTGGGGATGTGTTCTTTGCAGGAAGCAAAGGAGTTCTTTAGACTCAGAGTCCTCGTTGAAGCCCTGCTTACTCCGGTTTGTTTTTGAAACTTCTATCGGTGGGTATTTAATCAGTAATTAGTCTTCTGTTCTTGGCAGCCTTTTGCAACCTTGAAATGGCTTGCTTTTGATATCGAACAATTAGGTTTAAATGTCTTTCGGCTGGGAATGCCCTGAATTCCCAGCACCGCGTTAAAATAAGTTTGCTTTTATACACAGTTTGTATTTGTTTAATTCGAACAAGGCTTGAGTCAGAACAGTAGGTGACTTACGATCGTTCCTCACACTTATGACCTTAGCAATGACCCTGCAGTCCTGTGATTATGATTTGAGAATTTGGCAATTGTCACTCATTTAGGAACATTTGTTTATGACATTCCACCATTTGTAATCTTCCCAGCCTGCTTCTGAAAAGCAAAGTCAAGGGGAAGTTGTTGTGGCTGGCCAGTGGAGCTGGTGGCAGACTCAGACGATGAGGAGATTGGAGAGGAACTTGGGCCAGTCCTGGAGTCTGGGGAAAGCTCTGATGGAGTCTCAGAAGCAGAGATAGGGCCAGGGCCATCCAACATTTCCCAGGACAACTTTTCTTGCCAAAATTGTTAACTGAATCACTGTTGTTAAGTTAGTAACATGGTTGTTAAGTGAATCTGGCTTCCCCATTGCTTGTCAGAAGGTCGCCAAGCAGGATCACATGACACACACACTCCAGGACGCTGCAACAGTCATAAATGTGAGTCAGTTGCCAAGCGTCTGAATTTTGATCACATGACCATGAGGCTGCTGCAGTGGTCATAATTATTGAGTCTGTCATCTGCACCTCTGTAACTGTCTGGTTTGGTTCTGCAACTCAACAGGACAGACACAGACTTCAGAAGGTAATTAGGACTGCAGAAAAAACAATGGCTACCAACCTGCCTTCAATCGAGGATCTGTATGCGCAGGAGTCAAAAAGAGGGATGTGAAAATATCTACAGACCCCTCACATCCCGGACATAAACTGTTTCAACTCCTACCCTCAAAACGATACTATAGAGCACTGCACACCAGAACAACTGGACACAAGGACAGTTTTCTCCCGAACGCCATCACTCTGCTAAACAAATAATTTCCTCAACACTGTTCACCTATTTACAAAGTCTGCACTACTATCACTATTAATCTTCTCATCACTCCTTATCACCCATCCCCTCCCACTTGTGACTGTATGACTGTAACTTTGTCGCTTGTATCCTTACGATCTATATTGACTATTTCCCAGTATGATTTGATTGCTTATTGTACCCTATGACTATCATTAAGTGTTGCACCTGATGATTCTTGACTCTTGACAAATGTATCTTTTCTTTTTTGTACACTGAGAGCATTTGCACCAAAGACAAATTCCTTTATTGGCCAAGTGTCCAATCACACTTGGCCAATAAAGAATTCTATAAGTGTGAAAAATGGTTTGAAATGTTACATATAGTTATTTTATTAATTATCAGCTGCCTAGAGTCGACTCCAGGTGATGTGGGTAGTATATCAGCTTCATAAATAAATAAAATAAGTAAAACAAATAAATATAGTTAGTCCTCTATGTACAACTGGTCACTTAGTGATTGTTCAGAGTTACCACTGATCTCCCCAGGGCTATTTCAAACCCACATTAGAAGTTGTGACTGTTGGTCCCGTTCTGACATTCATGTGATCATGTTTGGCAATATTTTAGCGGTCGCATGTTCATGATTTACGATTTGCTTTTTGCAGAAATCAACATTTCCAGCAATAGATGCCATTTATGGGCAATTGATTTGCTTTAATGAATTCTGCCTTCAATTAACTGCTGCCACAAAAAACGAGTTATAAAATCAGGTGCAGTCACACGTAATATCCATTCTCCCTTCAGACTGCCGAAAAAAATCAGAAGGCCTTGATTTTCTCAGCTACGAAAAGAAATCGTGAACCATGCATTGATCTGAAGGTGGAAAATGGTTTAATTTCGATTTGCTCGGGGAAAATTTAATTTCAGTCTCTCTCTCTTCTGTGAAGAGAAGCACAGAAAATTTATCCAGTTGTCTTTATTCCCTACTTAACAGTGGTGGCATTCAATTTTTTTTTACTACCGGTTCTGTGGGTGTGGCTTGGGGGTGTGGCAGGGGAAGGTTACTGCAAAATCCCCATTCCCTCCCCACCCCACTAACCTGCTTTCCAGCTCCGTTCTCCTGTGCAGGGCAACCAAAGAAGACCCAGCCAATCAGCTGGGACTCAGTGGGAGGTGGAGACTATATGGGGGCAGGGCCAGTCAGAGGTGCTATTGGCCGGTTCTCTGAACTAATTAAAATTTCCGCTACCAGTTCTCCAGAACTGGTCAGAACCACGTCTGCTACTGAAGTTTGTTAATCTGGTTATCTCTTCTTTTTTTTTTCCTTTTCGCAGATAAATTTTGTGTTCCTGTTTAACATAGTTAGGATTCTAATGACAAAACTGAGAGCTTCAACCACATCGGAAACCATACAATACAGGTAAGTACAGTATTAAAGGTGGACCTCGGCTTATGACGACAGTTGAGATCAGAACTTGCTAAGTTGCATCCAATTTCAGAACCTTTTTGTTGCAGTAGTCATTAAGCCAATCACCTCAGTTGTTAAGTGAATTTAGTTTCTCCCATTGAATTTTGCTTGCCAATAATGGTGATAACATGATCCCAGGCATTTAAATTTTGATCGTGTGACCATGGGGATGCCAGAATGGTCGTAGGAATGGAAAACAGTTGTAAGTCACTTTTTCAGTTCTGTTATGACTTCATACAGTCACTAAATGAATGCTTGTAAGTTGAAGAATACCTGTATGGTATGTTTTGGTTTCCACACTATAAGAAATATGTTGAGACGAGTCTAGAAAAGAGTGCAGAGAAGAGTAACAAGGATGATTAGGAGACTGGAGGCTAAAACGTGCGAAAAAACGATTGCTGGAATTGGGTATGTCTAGTTTAATGAAAAGAAGGACTAAGGGAGACATGAGACAACCCTCCAATATTTGAGGGGCTCCTACAAAGACAAGGGGGTCAAACTATTCTCCAAATAGCAATAACGCTTAGACTTATATACTGCTTCACAGTGCATTTACAGCCCTCTCTAAGCGGTTTACAGAGTCAGCCTCTTGCCCCGAACAATCTGGGCCCTCATTTTACCCACCTCAGAAGGAAAGAAGGCTGAGTCAACCTTGAGCTGGGATGGATGGATGGATGGGAGGGAGGGAGGGAGGGAGGGAGGAAAAGAAGGAAGGAAGGAAGGAAGGAAGGAGGGAAGGAAGGAAGGAAGGAAGGAAGGAAGGGTGGAGGGGCAATAGCAGTTAGACTTATATACCGCTTCACAATCTTTCCAAGATTGGGAAACATTGGTTAAAGCGCTTCTCATAATTTAAGGCTGCATATAGCAATACCACTTAAACTTATATATCGCTTTATAGTGCTTTTACAGCCCTCTCTAAGTGGTTTACAGAGTCAGCCTCTTGCCCTCAACAATCTGGGTCCTCATTTTGCCGACCTTGTAAGGATGGAAGGCTTTGTAAGGATGGAAGGAGTCAACTTTGACCTGGGATGGATGGATGGAAAGGGAAGGAAGGAAGGAAGGAAGGAAGGAAGGAAGGAAGGAAGGAAGGAAGGAAGGAAGGAAGGAAGGAAGGAAGGAATAGCAATAGTACTTAGACTTATATACCACTTTATAGTGCTTTTACAGCCCTCTCTAAGCAGTTTGCAGTCAGCCTTTTGCCCCCAACAATCTGAGTCCTCATTTTGCCGACCTTATAAGGATGGAAGGCTGAGTCAACCTTAAGCCGGTGAAGATCGAACTGCTGACAGTTGGCAGAGTTAGCCTGCAATACTGCATCCGAACCACTGCGCCAACAGGGCTCTTCAAAGCATCCAAAGGCAGGACAAGAAGCAATGGATAGGTTGGGAGTATGGTGGGTCTGGATCTTGGTCAATGGCGGTCAACCTTGAGCGATACTTAATCCCTGACTTGTCTTTAACAGGAAGGCAGTCAAAGCCACGTTAGTCCTCCTGCCACTTCTGGGAATTACCTACATGCTATTTTTTGTCAATCCGGGAGAAGATGACATATCCCAGATCTTTTTCATCTACTTCAATTCCTTCTTGCAGTCTTTTCAGGTAAGTGGTGTGGAAGCAGGAAATGAGTATCCATGAAGGTCCCATGAAGTTGGTACCGCTTTATAAAGCTCCGGTAAGGCCACACCTGGAATGCTGCATCCAGTTTTGGTCACCGCGATGTAAAAAAGAGGTTAAGACTCTAGAAAGAGTGCAGAGAAGAGCAACAAAGATGATTAGGGGACTGGAGGCTAAAACATATGAAAAACAGTTGCAGGAACTGAGTATGTCTAGTCTGATGAAAAGAAGGACTAGAGGAGACATGATAGCAGTCTTCTAATATCTCAGTGGCTGCCAGAAAAAAGGGGAAGTCAAGCTATTCCTCAAAGCACCTGAAGGCAAGACAAGAAACAACGAATCTAAACTAATCAAGGAGAGAAGCAATCTAGAATTAAGGAGAAATTTTCTAACAGAACAATTAATCAGTGGAACAACTTGCCTCCAGAAGTTGTGGATGCTCCAACACTGGAGGTTTTTGGGAAAAAAATCAGACAGAGCTTTGTCTGAAAATGTTATAGGGCTGTGATGGCGAACCTAGGGCACACATGCCATAGGTGGCACACAGGGCCATTTGTGCCGGCACACAAGCCGCAGGCAAAATTACCTCACTGCACATGCGTGCACTTCATAGCTGATTTTTTGGCTGCTTTTTCGGCCTCCCAGAGGCTTGAAAAAAGCCTCTGCAGGCTTTGCAGGCCGAATAATAGGCCAGTTTGGTCACTTTCGGCCTGCAAAACCTGCAGAGGCTTTTTTCAAGCCTCTGGGAGGCCGAAAAAGGCCTCAACCCAGCCGAAAAATCAGCTGTGAGGCGCAGTGCAGGTAAGGAGGCAGGGGGATTGCATGCACATGCGCAGGGGGCGGGAGGGGGCGCGTTGCCTTCTGGGTGCTGGCACGCAAGCACGCACACAATTTTTGGCACAGGAGCCTAAAAAGATTAGCCACTACTGGTATAGGATCTCCTGCTTGAGCAGGTGGTTGGACTAGAAGACCTTCAAGGTCCCACGGAATAGATCTCCAAAATTTTGTTCAGCATTCATTTCAAAAACTGGATCTCTGTATGTGAAGGTCTGGGTTATAATTTCTGTCCTTATCATCTATATTTGAAATATATTACTTAAACTAGTTTCTTGCATCTAAAATCCAGCACTGCTAATAGAGAGTAGAATTGTAATTAAAAGAATACAAACCAAATTCTTCAGCTGAGGTTGCTCATATCTATAGATCAGTGTTTTTCAATCTTAGAAAAAAGTTAAAGATCTGTGGACTTCATAGCTGGCTGGGGAATTCTGGGAGTTGAAGTCCACATATCTACAATGTTCCAAGGTTAGGAAACACCACTGTAAACCATCATTAGATTTTGCCTAAAATTTAAACAAGTTTGGGAGAAGTTTAAACTTCTCTGAAACTGCCAGGCTGGGGAAGATACCTCTTAATATGTAAAAGCTTGCATCTAAACTTCACACAAGTACTCTTGTTCCTGTAAATGATTTCTCTTTTTTTATCCCGAGGAGCGAAAAATCCATCTCTTAATATTAATCTTTTTTCTAGGGTTTTTTTGTGTCTGTGTTTTACTGCTTCTTAAACAGCGAGGTAAGTTGCATTATCTCTGTTTTTATTAAACCAAAAGAAATTGTTTGTGGATTGCAAAAAAACAACATGTGAATTATTAGAGGAATTTATTCTCCAATCACTCCAAAAAGAGCACCATTAATTGTACATAGGGAAGATTGAAATGAAAGATAAGTGAAAAATGAGTTATTATCTGCTATAGGAAGGGGTAAGTTTCATCATGGTGAGCTGATTCCAATATCTGCCCTCAAAACCATATCTGTGGGATTACTCATTTTCTCTTTTTAATATAAAGATGTCTTAAATATAATATATTGTAATATATTATTTATATTATATTTAATCTATCTTTATATTAAAAATGGTTACCTTTAATAAAAGAATATTTATATTATATTTAATATAAGTAACCTTTTGTTACGATTATCATTATATGAAATATAAATGAAGTGAGAAGGGAAGAATTGTGGGATGAAGGGGAAAACGAATAAGGAAAAAAAAGCATTGACTTCCAACATTTTTCAATGCAGTAAAATACAAAATAAAATTACAGCCTCAACTTTTTTACTTTTTCATACGTAGTAAATACTAGTAAATACAAAGTAATCAGCAAAACCTAATTTTTTTTCTATCTTGAGCATAAAATCAAGAAGTGGTTTCTAGAAACAAAATTAGATATATTATTTTCTCTAATTAAAACAGTTACAGGTAGTCCTTGACTTATGACCCAAACTGAGCCCAACGTTTCTGCTGCTAAGCAAGGTAATTGTTAATTTTGCCACATTTTATAACCTTTCCTGCCGCAATTGCTAAATGACTCCCTGCAGTTCTTGTTGGTAGCATGGTTGTTAAGTGAATCTGGTTTCCCCATTGACTTGGCATGTCAGAAGGTCTCAAAAGGAGATCATGTGACCCTGTGGAACATTGCAACTGTCATAAGTACATGCCAGTTGCCAAGCATTCTAATTTTGATCACGTGATCACGGGGATGCTGCAACGATTTTAAGAGTAAAACATACCTTAAGTCACTTTTTCACGTTCCGTTGTAATGGAATGAATGGTCTTTAAATAAACAGTAGTAAGAGAAGAACTACTAGTAATTCTCTGGTAACTCCATCAGGGAGGGGGGGTGTATTTATTTGCTACTAGCAGTGGTGTGAATGTCATAAATTTGAGGATGATACAAGGGGCCATTGAGGCAGGGCGATTCCCCTTGAAAATGGGATGCAGCAGGAACCCATTCTCCTCAGATCCCTCAATATTTGGAGGAAAAGTCAGGACAAAATGATACAGGTATAGGTACTCCTCAACTTACAACCATTAGTTTAGTGACTTTGAAGTTTCAGCAGCACTGACAAAAATGACTTAACGATCCCCATAGTCACATGATCAAAATTCGGACGCTTGTAAATCAGTGGTGGGATTCAAAAAAATTTTACTACAGTTCTATGGGCGTGGCTTGGTGGGCATGGTGTGGCTTGGTGGGTGTGGCTTGGGCGTGGCAGGGGAAGGTTACTGCAAAATCCGCATTCCCTCCTCACCCCACGAACCTGCTTTCCAGCTCCGTTCTCCTGTGCAGGGCAATCAAAGAAGACCCAGCCAATCAGCTGGGAATCGGGAGGCGGAGACTAGATGGGGGCGGGGCCAGTCAGAGGTGGGATTTACCAGTTCTCCGAACTACTCAAAATTTCCGCTACCGGTTCTCCAGAACTGGTCAGAACTTGCTGAATACCACCTCTGTTGCAAACGACTTATATTTATGACGGTTGCAGTGTCCCAGAGTCGTCATGTGTTCCCCTTTAGCGATCTTTTGATGAGCAGAGCCAATGGGGAAGCAAGATTCACTTAACAAACCGTGTTACTGAGGGATTCACTTAACTGTGGCGAGAAAGGTCATACAATGGTGCAAACTAACTTCGCAAAATTTCTGTCTTGCTTAGCAACAGAAATTTTGGGCTCGATTGTGGTCATAACACAAGGACTACCTGGGCATAGTAGAAATCTTAGTGGGCTTGTTTTTTTTTTTTTACAAATATTGGCAAAAAATGTACATATGAAAAGGGGAAACTGAGGGAAATGTATATTGAAGTATTCACACTTTTTACTGAGGTAATTCTGATTTGTTTTCACTTCAGAGAAGCGTCACCGGGCCCAGCCCATAGGACCACTAACCAGATTCCTCTCTTTTGGGGGGATTTTCCAGGTGCGCTCTGCAGCTCGAAAAAGGTGGCACCGTTGGCAAGACCATCACTCCCTCCGGGTACGCGTGGCCCGTGCCATGTCCATGCCCACCTCTCCAACAAGGATTAGCTTTCACAGTATAAAGCAAACTGCGGCTGTGTGAACAATCCCAAAGCCCCTTGATCAGCCTAGAAGCAGTGTTTCTCAACCTTGGCCACTTCAAGACAAGTGGACTTCAACTCCCAGAATTCCCCAGCCAGCAATGGAGATGTTAAGTTCACTCAAGCTAGCTGTGGAATTCTGGGATTTGAAGTCCACCAATTCCTACTGGGAAACTCTGGGAACTGAAGTCCACCCAAGATGGCGGGGGAATCCTGGGAATTGAAGTCTGTATCTCTTAAAATGTCCGAGGTTAAGAATCACTGATCTGGAAAGATCTGTTTTCCCTTGTGGTTTTCTCCCTTCTCTTTCGAACCTATATTTCCCTCCCGTTTTTAATTCCCAAAAAAGCAACTGGGGTTTATTTCTCCAGAGAAAACTCTTCGCTTTGATATGATGCTCTTTTTCTCCCAGAGGAACTGCAGTTGTTGTTTTTTTTAAGTGGGAACAGTGGGCAGAAGCAGAATTGGAAAGGAAATATCAGCGAGGAACCTTCCCTTGTTGTCCAAAATCCTAAATCTTTGGCTGGAAAGAATTACCAAGTAAGACACTGCAAGGAAATGGCGGGTTTCAAAACGTCGAGATGGCAGCCAGGAAAATGCAGTTGTGAAGGCCTGCCTCTTTGAAAAAAACCACCATTTATTTTTCACTTATATCCTGTCTCTGTTATGCACCTCAAGGCACCCTAACATCCCTTGTTTTCCCTACAACAACCCTGTGAGGTAGGACTGAGCTGAGGGAGAGAGAGAGGGACTGGCATAAAATTACCCAACCAGCTTTCGAGCCTAAGGCGGGACTAGAACTCACCGTCTCCAGGGGATTGGTCCAAAGTCACCTGGCTGGTTTTGTGCCTAGGGTAGAACTGGAATTCACAGCCTTCCAATTTCTAGGTTAGCTGCAACCACTATACCAAACTCTCATCTCAACTTTTTCCTTTCTTTTCCCCAGTACTCTAGCCTTTCAAAAAGAATTAATAAAAATTATTTATTTATATGGTATTTATGAACTAGATTCCCCCCCCCCCCCGCCTTCTGTTTAATCACTTTGCTGAGTCCATTTTTTAAAAAAAATGACTCGCACGCATAAGGTGATCCTTGGGGACTGACTGAAGAGGTCTCTGCGATTTTCTTGGCAAGATTTTTCAGAAGTGGTTTGCCATTGTTTCCTTCCTAGAGTGATTAGCTCAAGATGACACAGCTGGCTATGTGCATAAAGCAAAACTAGAATTCACTGTCTCCTAGTTTCTAGCCTGGTGCCTTTAACCCCAACTGACTCTCCAATTTGTGACTTCCCCTCTATATTTTTCAGGGGGGGTGGGATTTTATTTTTCGTCCTGGATTTGGACACAGTCTATCGTGGCTGCTTTGTGCTTTTTTTTCACCCAGGCACATTAAGCATGCAGAATCTGCTAATCGTGGGCCCAAAGGAACAGATAAACAAGTATATTTTATTGTATTTTTTAATGAATAAAAAATCTATGCCTCTAGTTTCACAAAGCAGGGAAATCTATTCTTCAGAAGGCTCCAATACATGTTTACTCAAGAGTAAAAGAAGAAGAAGAAGAAGAAGAAAATGACAGGAAATTAGATATGTTGCTTTTAGGATGAAAAAAAAAACAGCCATCTTTTTAGTGAGCATCAGAGATTAGATTTTACAGATTTTTGCTAAACTGTGGTTGATGTTGGGTGGTTTATACAGCCTGCTAATAGAAAAGCTAGAAAACTGCACGAAGGCTTGGCATGATGTTGAATGAAATATACATTTATATATCTCCTAGGGGGGAGTTTTTGCAACTTTCTTGGCAATAGAATTAAAGTAGCTTGCTATGGTTTTCCGCTCTAGCCTATACAGATAATCCTTGATTTACAGCCACTTGTTTAGAGACTATTCAAAGTTACACCGGTGCTGAAAAAAACCCTGATTTGCAATCAGTTCTCACACCGTCACAGCCAGTATCATCATCAGAATTTGGCCACTGAGCAACCAGCCTTCAGGATAAGTTTAGGGTCACCAGATCACATAATCACATTTCTGACTTTCTCAGGCTAGCTTCTGACAAGTAGAATCAATGGGGGAAGCCAGATTCCCTGAACGATTTACTTAACAACCAGAGCAAAAAATAAATAAATCATAAAATTGGACATAACTCACTTAATTAGCGACAAGTTTCAGCCCCAATTTTGGTCATAAGTCAAAGACTATTTGTACCTCTTGGTTTCCCTGGTGGTTTGTTACTGAAATATTAATTGAACTAACTTGGTTTCTATAATTGGTCAAGGGTAGTTAAATCTATGCTGAATCTAATGGGATGCAGAATAACAGAAGAGAATTGGAAGGGATCTTGGAGGTCTTCTAGTCCAACCCCCTACTCAAACAGGAGATCCTATACAATTCCAGACAAGAGGCTATCCAAACTCTTCTTAAAAACCTCCATTGATGGAATACCCACAACTTCCGGGAGAATTTTCTCCATAGTTCCAGGTTGCCTCTTCCCTTGATTAGTTTCCATCCATTGCTTCTGGTGCTTGCAAAAAAAAAACTCTTGCAAACACACATGAATGCTGCTGAGATTTCTATGATTGTGGCTTTGTTTCGTTGTTGCTTATAGTTAAACTCCTGCCACCTTTTTTTTTTGCACAAGGCAGTGTTTTTGAGTTACTTCAGAGGGCATGATTAGCCCTTAAGAATGCCTTGAATTGGTCAAATGGGCTTATTTTGAAAGTTCATGCAGCAGTAATTCTGTTTGTGAAAAGGGAAACCAGTGTAAGTGTGTTTTGCTGAGATGCTTGTGTAAAACTACTGTCTAGGGTTGTTTTTTGTAGGGGTAGTGACATTATTTGAGAACAGCCAAAGGAAAAGGATCATTGGGTCAGGTGGCTTAAGAAGCACAGCTGTAGGGGCTAAAAAAAGTCAGCATAGGGCTGCAACCTCGTGGTATAAGCCGAGTGTCTCCAGCCTTGGCAACTTTTAAGTCTTGTGAACTTCAACTCCCAGAATTCAATTCCCCTTCCCATGGCTGGCTGGGAATTGAAGTCCTCAGCTCTTAAAGTTGCCATGTTTAGAGTTCCTTCATGTTAGCTTGTTTTTCTTACATAACTCACATTGCTTGTTTAAAGCAGATGGGGCTTTGCACCAGGGGTCCCCAAACTTGGCAACTTTAAGACTTGTGGACTTCAACTCCAGCATAGCTGGCTGGAGAATTCTGGGAGTTGAAGTCCACAAGTCTTAAAAGTTGCCAAGTTTAGAGACCTCTGCTTTTCCTGTCAGCCATTTTGACTTTTCTGACCCACTCCTTTCCTGTGTAGGTGACTCTATTTTTAGGAAGTACTGCATTAGCAGTCTTGAAATAGAAAGGTAGATTTCTAAAACATCTGCTTTTTCAATATTTCTTGACTGTGTGGAGAAACATAGCTGAGCTTCGGTGAGGACATCTGTTTCCACCTTTAGAAACAAAGGTTTTAGGCTACCCTGCATATTTGTCTGAATGAACTATGTTAGTGTATAATAGCCAAAATTCAAGAGGAATCTGATTGCCCCCTTTCCAACTAATGTTTTATTCAAAGGCAGAAGTTTTCATCAGATGCATAGAATGGTTGTTGATATTTCTTAAACTTGGGCACATTAAGATGAATGGACTTCAATTCCCAGAATCCAATTCCCCTTCCCATGGCTGGCTGGGGAATTGGGAAAGATGAAGTCCACACATGCTGACTGGGGAATTCTGGGAGTTAGAGTCTTTGAATGCTGGCTGGGGAATTCTGGGAACTGAAGTCCACGCATTTTTAAGTTGTCAAGTTTGAAAACCTTGGACTAGTCTGAGGTGAGATTTAAAGGGGAAGGAGAAAATCTGTGACCTATAACAGAGTCATTGCTCTGGTTTTGGACCCAAGCCTCAAAAATTACAGTTTTGTTTTATAAAGGGAAACTTTGTATTAAAAATTACTCAAAATGAAGGAAGCGATGAATGGCAACTTAGTTCGAAAAAGTTGTTACACTGGAGTGATCTAGTTAGGCTCTCCAAGAATTTTTATGTGATGTTGAAATACAGTGTAAATATTTTCAAAAATAAACACTTCTACATTTCTGGATATCGAGGTCTGTGTGATTAATTTTGGGAAAGGAAAGGGAACCATTTTTGATCGTCATCTTGCCTCCAAAATTCAGTACAGGGATCCCAATGGTTCGTTTTCCCAGTTGAGAATGGTTTAGGGCAGCTAGTCCACTACTTACAACCATATTGGAATAACATGACCACCATGGTTCCAAGTCATAATGGTTGTAAATCTGCTTGTTAGGCAATGTAGGACTCATAAAATGACCTCTGGTCATTCATTTAGTGACTGTTTAAAGTTACAATGGTGACTTATGATCAGTGGTGGGATTCAAAACATTTTTACTACCAGTTCTGTGGCATGGCTTGGTGGACATGGTTTGGTGGGCGTGGCATGGCTTGGCTTGGTGAGAATGGCAGGGGAAGGTTACTGCAAAATCCCCCTTCCGTCCCCACCCCACTAACCTGCTTTCCAGCTCTGTTCTCCTGTGCAGGGCAACCAAAGAAGACCCAGCCAATCAGCTGGGACTCAGGAGGCGGATACTAGATGGGGGCGGGGCCAGTCAGAGGTGGGATTTGCTGGTTCTCCGAACTACTCAAAATGTCTGCTACCGGTTCTCCAGAACTGGTCAGAACCTGCTGAATAACCACCTCTGCTTATGACCATTATTCAAACAACTATTGTAGTCACATGATCAAAGTTTGGGAACTTGGCAACGGGCTTAAATTTATGACGGTTGCAGTGTTCTGGGTCACATGATCCCTTCTTGCAACCTTCTGACAAAGTCAATGGAAAAGCCAGATTCGTCTAACGATTGTATTATTAATTGAACAACTGCAATGATCCACTTGCCACCAACTGTGGCAAGAAAGTTGTAAAATGGGGCAAAACTCCCTCAACAAATTTCCCACTTAACAACCTAAATTTGAGGGTCAATTTTGGTCAGGTCATT